AACTAATGAAAACTGCTGACAGTTGCTGTTGTTGTGTTTTTTGGAAAGGCGAAAAGTTGCAGCCTGCTTTTACTTTTTTTTAACTCATTAATTATCTCTGCTCCTCTCTTCTCCCCATAAGAAAAAAATATATTTTATCTTCAATGCTCAACCTTCTTCTTCTCCAATGGCGAGCTCGAAGCGTATGACGCAAACAAGGAGGATGACTCGCTCGAAGGATGCCTGAACCGCCGAGGCTCGCGAGCCGGCTTGAACTCGTTAACAGTGGGATGAGCTCAAGTTCGAGCTCGAGCTCGCTTTCTAATTGACGAGCTGAGCTCGATAGTATCAAAACTCGACTTGACTCGACTCGTTTACACCACTAAGTCAGCCTATCCCGCATTTACCTACTTCTCCAACCAATAACCCACAGTTTTACTCACAAGACCCTCGCTTTCCTTCTTCAAAAGCCACGCACATTAGTTCCTTCTACCCTTCTTACCCCTCACCTTCTCATGGAGGCCCTCCCACTTATCTATATCCTATGTCCCATCATTCAATCCCCCACCACCCCCTCAGTCTGGTGCAGGTGGACCTTCCATCCCAATTTCAGTCTGGTGCCGGGTCAATTCTGAGTTCGACCAGAAAATGTACATTTCTAGCATATTTACTGACGGAATTCCGGTGGAATTGTCCGACAATATTCGTAGTTTACGTGGTAGTCTTTCCAACGGGTTATCTTTCCTCCTAAGGGACTATCGTAGAACTCCCGCAGCAAGTGGTATACATATGGTGACGTCCTCAATATCACCATTTGCCCATGGTATAACAACCTCTGATCGAGTAATGTATATTATGGATGGCTATCATTGTTCCCCAATAAATCTCTCTTGATTTCCACCAATCCTTCATCTTGCTGACTTTCTCTTCTCAAAGCCTCCCAGCACACAACTAAGGGAACATACAGTGCCATCATGTGTGGTTCCGTTATACATCTAGATAACTCATCTGAGGCCTTGTTCTCTATCCCGGGTGAATACTAAATCTCAAAACATAACCCAGCAGTTTTGAATGTCACCTCTGATGTTCCTCTGTAACCATCCTTTGCTCCAAAAGAAACCTTAAGCTTCTTTGATCAGTCCTGACAATCAGCCCAATAAGTAGGTAGGGTCGCCATTTCAGGATGGGCAACACATTTGCCATCAGCTCCCTTCGTATACTAACTTAAGCCTCACCCTGGCAGTCAACACCTGACTGAAATAAGCCACTGGTCTCTGTTCCCGTATAAATACAGTTCCTATCCCATACCCTTAAGCATCAATCTCCACCATAAAAGGCTAGTTGAAGTCAGGCAAGGCTAACACTAGTACGCTGGTCATTGCCTTCTTCAACTCCTCAAAGGCCTTGTTAGTTGCTTCTCCCCAATTGAAATTATCCTTCTTTAGTTGTTTAGACAAAGGTCAAACTATTGAACAATATCCCTTCATGATATTTTTGTAGTAGCCTATAAGCCCAAGAACCCTCTCAACTCCCTCAAGCTCTTGGGTATTAATCATCTCAACATGATCTCGATTTTGCTCTGGTTAGTTGCTACTCGTTCCGTGATACCACGTGCCCTAAATACTCCACTCTAGACTGGGAGAATGAGCATTTCTTCATATTAACAAATAAGTGGTGGTCTCACAGAGTAGATAACACCAATCCCATGTGTTCTAAGTGCTCCTCCTCGCTCCTGCTGTAAATCAAAATATCATCAAAGAATACTAACACAAACCTCTACATATATGGTTGGAATACCCTGGTTATTCGAGACTCGAAAATAGCTAAAGCATTAATGAGGCCAAAAGGCATCAGTGGATTGAATGATCCATGCCTCTAGCATCTCCCTGGTCAATCTCTGGATCATATACTTCTGGATTTACGAATAATGGTACAGACGAATACTGATAGATAAGACTCCTTCCTTCAATATGATAGCATGCTCCTATTCTCATGAAGGAAGCAACCCCTGAACTGGCTGGAACACCTCTAGATACTATTATAGGAGTGGTTGAACCATATCAAATGTTTCTATCTTCTCTCCATCCTCTTCTCATTCTAAATTCAGAAGCTCCACCAAAAATTCCGCAACTTCACCCTGGATTGCTCTCACCATAATTTTGAGTGAAGCCATAGTTTTAAACGGGCTAAGATCATCTCTAATAACCACTTTCCTTCCCTCAACCTTGAACTCCATCATTAGAGCCTTCCAATCAATCTTGGTCTTTCTCAACTTCTACAACCACTTCATCCCCAATATCACATATGTGCTCCACAAATTTAATGGCAGAAAGTCTTCCAATACCTTAACCTATGGAAGGATTAGGATCACCGCTTTACAAATTCTTCTACTCCTCTCTACTTTTCAAGTTCATAGCATAACCACAAAGCCCCTCATGTCCACTAATTTCAATCCCAATTGATTCACCATACTGTTGGAAATGTTGTGGGTAGCTCTACTATCCACCATTACTACCACCTCCTGATGCCCGATCTTCTTCGTAACCTTCATGACGTGGTTCAATGTGAACTCAACCACCGAGTTAAGTGATATCTCTGCAACATCTAAGTGCAGGTGATCATACTTCCTCTTATGCATCACCTTCTTCCTCATTGCGAACTATCATGACCTGTAATGAACGATCATTATAATGGTAGCCTGGAATGAACTTCTCATCACACCTAAAGTATAAAACCTTGGCCCTCTTCTCCTGAATTTCTAATTCATTCAACCTTTTGAAGTTCCCCCTGGTCATACTCTCGGATCTCTATCCATTCGGGATCCTTCTAAATAGGCATCATCTGCACCTTTGGTGCCATAAATGTAGTGGTCGTGAGGTAAGAGACTCCTAAAATGCTGCTAAAGCTACTCCTCTCCAAGGAGTTCTTATCTTGCAACAGCTGGACTAACTCCATAACCTCTCATAAGCTACTTGGTCTTAGTACTTGAACAGCTGCTCGAATATTAGGCTTGAGCCCCTTCATAAAGTACCCTTCTAGCACTATCTCTAACAACCTTCCCAATTAACTCGAGAAGTACTCGAACTTCTCTCAGTACACTATCACCATCCCCTCCTGCACCTGAGCAAATAACTGCTCATAAAAATCTCCTTCCCGACTGGTTCGAAAACATTCTAGTAAACAATCTTTGAATTCCCTCCATGATCGGATCGGATCTTGCAAGTCTCACCACTGGTACCAAGACAAAGCCTTCCCTTCCAGACATTGTACAGTTGCAGTGAGTTTTTCATCTTTTACCAACCCGCTAACAGCAAAATATAACTCCACCATATAAATCTATTTGTGATTATGTTAGACCGGTCCACGCGGGACCGACCCAGACAAGAAACGGCGAAAGTTTCCGCCTGGGCGGAGGCCGCGCGAGCCGCTCGCCTTGCGGGACTGTTTTAGGAAGGAATTTTGAGGAAGTTTAAGAGGGAAATTGATTGTAGAGACTGTTTAGGGAATTCCTTTTGATTTTTATGCATTAAATAGTTTATTTTTCTAGGGTTTGGGTATCTTGAATTTGGTTGAAATTTGATATCTCTTAGATTTAGGTTTTCTTTGGGCTCTAGCAGCGTCTAGAGATTTGGGAGAGATCGATCCTCCTCTCGAATTGAGGATCAATTGTATCTTTGCTGTTTTATTCATCATTTATTGGAATAGATGTCTTTTCTTGGTTTTCTCTCAGAATAGTGCTATTTTTCTGCTGTCAACAGCAGATTTCTGCTGTTTTTTCGATTCTTGACAGCAACTTTATCATTGTTGGATCTCCGATTTGGGTTAGGATTGCTTGCGAACTCAAGTATTACCTTAGGGTTACTTGCAAACTCAAGTATTTCCTATCAGATTATCTTCTCCCTAAAAAACCGACATCTTCAACTTTCTCACTCTAGAATCGTCACCGCCACAATAGCTTATTCCTCCAGTGTAGCATGTTGTAAACCCTCCATGTTTCCCTCTCACCTAAATCAGCTCTCTAATATTTATCATCTTAATTTCTTCACCAGCCATACCCTTCACCCATTCCCCTCCTTGGAAGTGGCTCCAAAGAAAGCATCTCCCCCCCCCCACACACACACACACAAAAATCCATCTCCCAATCCCCCATCATTGTTCATATATTAGAGTTTCCCCCACTTCCTTGTCCGATCAACGGTGCCTATGCCACTAATGATACTGTTTTGGCTTGAAACTCTAACATCATTTTCATCATCTCTTATAGATTCAAAAATCTGTCCTCAATTGCTGAAATTCACTCTCTGAATTCAGACTTCAGATTTCCAACTTCCCCATCAAGCCTCTCCTCCAACGTATCAACATTCTTAGCCTCCATAGATCCCAAAAAAGGTGCTTTGATACCAATTTGGTAAAGATGTGATCTCCACACAACAAAAACAGCAATAATGAAGACAAAATGCAGCAAAAATCAACAAGAAAGAATGAGATATCGGCACAACAAACCGAGATACAAGTTGATATACTATTCAAGAGGTAGATCGACTCTTCACAAATCCTAGGCGCAGCCAGGAACAACTCCAAAGAAAACTACAACAAAATACAATTCACATATTGAAAATAAAACAATCTAATACATGTTGAGCTTGCTTTATCTAATCTAGACTAGGCTCAATTCATGTTTGATTCGAGCTTGGCTTATTAATAGACTCATGAATTTCAATATAAGCATGATTTGAATCACAAGTTGATCAATTTTTCTAGCAATTGCCAAGCTAAACTCAAAACCCTGGATTTATTCTATTGTGAATTTGTGATGTTTGGCAATTCCACATTATAGGTGCAAGAAAAATCATACCTGCTACTAGATTTTTTTTTATATCTACTATTGCATTTCTACATTAAGATGTATGAAGAACAAATCCATTGCAGGCATACAAACCAATTAAACAAATTGTCAAAATAAAACATTCAATTTCATTTCAGGATAATGCAATATGTTTGCAGCTTTAAAGTAGTCTTACCAAACTCCCAACGAGCTTGAACGAGAGCAATATGTGAATTGGATACAAGATAGGGAATTGTTCTCATGAGAAAGTCAGATCCTGGCCTGAAATCAGCATCAAAGATGGCCACAAACTCGCACTGTTGGACATAGGTATATTCCATTCCCTTCTTTAATGCCCCTGCTTTATACCCCTTTCTATTGTCCCTGACTTCATAAGTGATATTTGCGCCCTTACTTGCCCAAATTTTACACTCAAGAGCCACCAAGTCCTACATCATCAAAAAATTCAAATTATAAATAAGAATATCATCTAATGTTTGTACCTTCAATATTAGTCGCTAAAAGAACATTGTACTTTTAATAATACCAAGTTCTTTTAGAAAACTCAGCTGTTGTTCGGGTGACAAACAATGACTCACTATGCATGCATTAGGAAAGACGGAAGAATTTAAAAAAAAAAAAAAAGCAAAGAATACGAAAACTAAAAACTTTTATCACTTTTTTGTTGCTTTTGAGGACCTCACACTTATCAAGTCATTCGTGGTTGTGGCTGTCAATTATGATGCTCGGTTTTGAAGGCAGTAGACTTCAAGAGCATTTATTTACAAAAGTCATCAAGGTAGTAGCAAGTTATTAGAGATAAAGCTAGAGTAAGTGAAACATAAAAAAATTGTATCTTCCATTGGTTGAGACTAAAAATGACAGATTTTGGCACTGATTCCATTAGTTGTTCTTCCAGCGCATTGGACAATTATATTTGGACAGCTTTCAAAGAGGTATGTATTGTAAGAAATACCTAACTTTGGTCTTATATGCATCAACGGGTAGAACAACTATGAGAAATTCAGCTTTCAGAGGGGTATTTAATGCCCTTACCCTTCAGAACTCAAACTTCTAGGTGCATTTTCTTAAAGTGCTTGGGTTTTGAATTTGAAGTATAAAACAAGTAAATGAAATTGCAAGGGCTAGCTAGCAGTCTCAAAATCTGTATTTAAATAACAGATCTTATGCAGAAACGAAAGATGCAAGTTTTGTCCATTAACCATCAGAGTTTCAAAGTGCCTACACTATGTTTTTAAACAAAAAGAAAAGGAGGAATCTCTAAACTCCACTAGATTTATGTGATAATAAGTCCTTTTTCTTAGATTTCAGCAATGAATAAAGATATGTAAAAATAAAATTTACACCAACAAAAACTTCACACCGTGAAAAAGAGAAAAATCATGCTCCCTAAAAAGCCCCATACAAAAACTCACACCACACAAGCTCTAGATTAAGGTAGGATAACAAAAATTCTTCCCAACCAAAAATGGATGAAACTCTTCCAGCTTTAATTGCAGCATCTAAAAAGCTTGTGTGTAGATTTTCTAAAGAGTGTAGCATTATTCTGCAAATCATAAGTGAGGAAATCTAGAATACAGCTATCAACGTCCTTACAAAGAATCAGAGCAATCGTTTTAGGATATCATTTCAATCTAAAATACTGTCATCCGTGAAGCCCCAATTACTTCCATGTGACACTCTCCAAATCCAAAACTAAACCCTAAGCCCTAACTGACAGAAAGTTTGAGTATCCATCACTTTAGACTTTTCAGAGCAGCTTATGTGACATGTGAGTTGCCGGGGCAATTTCCACGAAGGAGGAAGCCCTCAGAGGTATGTAACACAACTTAGTAGCATTAATAGAAATTACGGCAGCGAACAAGAGTACTGGTTAACGTATTCATTTGTGTCTATATGATGAGTGAGTGCATCTTCGTCATAAGAATTGTGAGCGTTTAAATAACATTGATGGTTTGCGCCTTGCACCTTAATGGCGGGGTCAGTCGAGTCATCCAGGACTTGTATTATGATTCGATCCTGCGGCCATGTGAGTGCGCACACTGCTCCGATGGACAGCTTGTATACCTGTGCGCATAAGGTGCTCGACCGTAAGCCATATAGGAAGTTGAGGCGATAAATTACTGTGTGCAAGGTGAAAAACAACATGCAGTCAAACCTCTTTCTCATTGTACATTGGGATCTGAACGAGGACCATTGGGTAGGCCAAACTTCCGGTCTCCTCGTCGGCCTTGATGGGTTCCCATTTGTAGCGTTTCTCCGGCCTGCAACGTAGCAGCTTGACGGCGAGGCTGACGGTGGCCATCGAGGTGACTTCCACCATCAGCATCACCGACATGAACAGGCAGGCCGCCACCAACACCATTAGCACGGGAGCCAACGCTTTAGTCCTCACCAGACTCCACACGGCGAAAAACTGCTCTGGGAGGGCTGCGCCGGCGGAGTGGAAGAACAACTCGAGGGTATCGGAGACCGAGAGACCAATAACGCGCGCACACTTGGCGGCCAATGCCGAGGCTGATCAGAGAAAAACCGAAGTAAGCAGGTTTACTAGCACAAGGAAAGAATGTGAACTGAGTGGAAGGGAGAGAAAGAAAAGTATTACTTATACTGATAGCCGTCGAAGGGCGGAGGAGGATGGAGGAAGGAGGGCGAGAATAAGTTAGTTGGCGGAGGAGAGGACCGAGGGTGAGGCTGCTGGCGGCGGCGGAGGTGACTTCGCATGCAGCAGTGGTAGCGGCCAAGTAAATCACCGCCGGAAACACGTTCCTCATGGTTAGCAACCTAGCCCTTCCTCCTGCGTTTGCGCCGCTCTACTCTTCACCGTGGGTTAGTTTGCTGCCCTTATTTGGCTTTATAATCTCGGCGGTTCGAGCAGGTACAGGGATGAATCAACGTGGAGGTGAAGATGTTTTTTTTTTTTTTTTTTGGGAAAAGGTGAAGATGTGATAAATAGTGAAGGCAGTGGCGGTAGGTTTCGGGCATCAAGCTTTATTGAAAATAATTTAGAAGAGACTTTGAGTAATATATATATATATATCACTTTTTTTTTCAAAATATCTAACACTTAAATTATTATAGAAATATAAAATACAATATATTATGATGTTATTCATTATTATACCAATTTTGTCACCCTTACATAATATGTCTTCGCTTCAGGGGCGGAATCGACCTTGATTCTTAAGGGAGACTAATTTATAAATAACACATATACACAATGTATTTAATTCTAATAGAAGGCAACCACCTAAATATAATAGTATTTTAATTTCTTTAGAGAGGGCAATTGCCTAAAAACTTATATAATAAAGAATAAGAAAATGATGGAGGGGAACAAATTACCTAAATATACAAATGATAAGCAATTTTTTAATTTTTTTAGGGAGGGGGTTAGGTGGCTCCGCCCCTGCTTCGCTTTTATCACATTTTACTTGTCATCGTTCGTTATTGATTAAGATAAAAAAAAAAAATGAAACATTAGCTCACGAATGAGAGCTCGATGGTTAGGCTCAAGGTGTGCTAGCACAAGCTTTAGCGGAGTTAAACTCAACCATAGTTGGGCTAAGGAGAGGGGAGGTCAATAGGAGGTGATTGAGCATATGTAATGGCATTAGATGGATAGGCGATAGTCCTTTTTTTCTCGTTGTGTCCGACAAATTTGTTAATGAAAATTTATAGTGCTAAATAACATTAATTAAAAAAATTATTTGCTAAACATATAAACTGCAAAATTTTGGGTTCTCTGCATGTAAATACTCCTAAAAATATATATTTTAATACATAACACAATATATCTAATATCTAAATTTCAATGCTTTTATTTATATAAGATATTTTCATATTAGTGATGTAATCACATCAAAACATATAAAGAATATGCATGAATATTTCATATTTAGAAGTTAATATGCGTAATATATTTATGTAATTTAAAAATTGGTTGTTATGTAGCTAAGTATTAAAATTGATATGTTATCAAAAATTTATGTTGAACGGGCATGAATCACGAGATAATATCAAGTCATAAACTTTCAAAATTAAATATGGGACCATCCGAACTCCTATTTCAACAAACTTACAGTAAAATTGAATGCCTCAAAATACAAATCCAACTACACCAAATTTGATTCAATCCGAGCACAAATGGGCTCAAATTGAAGACCCGGAACTCGTCTAGAAAGTTCAAATCATAAATTAAATGATCAAACAATTTCAAAACGTGACATGCTTATAGTTGAATCGAGCGACTTGACGAGACGAATCCAACGAGCCTAAGATCGCATCATTATGATATCATTAAGACATTCCAATACCCAGTAAACGGTCTACGATCAAGGGGATCAACTTCTATCGTCCATTCAAACCACTCTCAACTTACTCTTGATTTCCCTTTTATTTACTAGTCATGTAACTTTTAGAAAATTATAAATAAACTCCTTATTTCACATGGAAATGGACCCAAACAAGGAAACAAGGAAGAAAATGAAGGAAAAGAAACTAGAGTCTACTCGCTACCAAACTCCTCCTCGATCACCATCGGACTTCCATCCGGCCACCAATTGACGACGGACTTCCGCCCAACCACCGACTGACGCCGGATTTCCTCCCGACCACCAAATATCTTCGAATTTTCGTCTGATCTCCATTCGTCACTAGATTTCAACATAACAGTTGACTATTGTAATATGATCATCCACAATTTCAATGATGAATTGATCTCTTGTAATATATTCAAACTCTAGTTGAATCATTTCAACTGGGAATGACCCCATAGTTTTTCCATTTTCCAGGATTTTTCACATATAAAATATTGTGTTTCGGAATTCCATATTTGTGTGCTAGATATTCATACGATGAGATAAAAAATTCTAACTCTATCATTGCGTATATTCTAGCCCTCAACAAAAATAATTGTTAAATATATGAATAAATATATAAGAATTATGTATATATATATCCAAAATAAAATTTGAATGCCTCAATAAATTATAAATATATAAGAACATAAAACTATGGTTAAAAGAATGCAAGAAAAAACTAATTATGCCAAATGATTTTGTTAGACGAATCAATAAAAATGTTATTTAAGCCGTGTATTTTTATTGATATATTTAAAAAATTAGATATCAAATGTGTTTTTCTTTAATACATTTGAAAGAGAGCATTGGCCTATCAAATGAGACTTGCAAATTTTCTTCTTTTTTTTTTAATAAAATTTCTATAAGACAATATCACCATTTCTCTCTCTCTCTCTCTCTCTCATACAATTCACATGGATCGCATCTCTGTAAGGCTAAATTATTACCTGCGGTTATCAGACGTTATTCGCAGGCCAATCAATACACGTCACATCATTAATATGATAAGTATCATTATTGTATACCGCTATGTATCGAGTGACGTGAGACGTCCTTATCAATGGAGGACAATCTGATGACCACACATAATAATCTCTTATTGACGGAGGACAATCTGATGGCCACACATAATAATCTCTTCTTTTGTAAGAAAATTATCCCAATAGCACTTTTTTTTAGTGCCCTAGAATGTCCACTTTGCTCATTAAGTTTATAACCAAAAATTAATGTAATTAATGTTCTAACTTCTTTTACTTTTTTTTTCTTAGGCAATACTTCTATTACTGTCAATGAGATCTTTGGTGGTTAAACAAGAAGTACCACACTGCAATGGCTTAGACGTTGTGCTAACTTCTGTTAGCATGCAGTGATGCGGATAAAATTTGATTTTTATTTGTTTTACACTGGCCTTGAATTTCGCCAATCAAGTCTTGAGCAATAAGATTAAGGTTTCATTTGGGATCACTTTTTTATTGCTTCTTTAATTAAGCAGCTTTTTATTACAAAAATTTTAGTACAAAAATTTGATTTTTATACTAAAAAGTTGTTTTAAGAAGCAATAAGAAAATAGTTTCAAACACTTTATAGTACAAAAATTTATAATTCAAAAAAATATTTTCATTAAAAAACTTATTTAAAAAAACATATAGAAAGCTATCCTAAATGAGGCCTAAGCGTTAATATATCACCAAAACATTGCTTAATCAAACAAGAATATCAATAAATATTGGAATTAGAAACTAAGGTTAAATTTAGGTCATCGAAACTGCAATTTCAACAAACATAGTTGAATTAGACATCTCGACTAAACAAATGCAATCACATAAAAATTTAAGTACTAATGAAAATTTTAAGATATTAATACGAAGATCAAACAATGTTCAAATCTTGCATCTTTATAATCAAATTGAATATCTGGACAAAACAAATTCCAAGAACATAAGATCATTAATTTAGAGGAGTGGAGGAATTAGAATTTTATATGTGGGGCATGAAAAATTTTGAACACTAAAAAACCCTCAACCCTTTTCATCCGAGCACGAAATCTTTTTTTGTTAGACTTATTATAAAAATGATAAATTTTATAATAAGTACATATTCATATTCTTCTTACATGATACCTACAGTTTCTTCATCCGACTCTTCATATTTTGAAATCGTTGTGCAATCACTTCATTTTCAATGATATTAAAAATATTTTTTCAATATAAGCAATCAAACAATTATTCATCCAAGAGTCTCACAAACGATTGTGCAAGAGATTCTATATAGCTTTCATGATGAATAATGCTCATTTGATTATTGCTATAGCAATTAGTAATATCATAGTATAAGTAAAAAAATGAAAGGGTAAATATCATTTTTCTTAGTCTTCGTCATTTTTATTTTTTTGAAAGTTCTCCAATTCCTTTAAAATTGTTAAATGAATAAATAGATAAAAAAAGAGGATCCCGCATCAATGATAAAAGCCTATAATATAACGATATATATTTATATTTGAAAAATCTTACGGATAAAATTTGGTTATATGTATCAATATTTATTTAATAAAAATTAAATATAAGTCTAATGGATTATCAAATATGCCGCACACATAAGCAACTCAATGTTTATCTTATCAAATTTATTATTAAGCTCTTGAACTTTTATATATATATATATAATTGAATAAAATAACTTAATTTTATAATGATATTCATTTGTGGTTGCTTGAGAATGACACCTCGATCTCCCTAGCATTATAAAATTATCAATCATATTTGGAACGATTAAATTATTCTTCAAACAAATAACACTGACTTTCACTAACAAAGTATTCATTCGATCATCTCTCATATTTTGTAGCCTTTGTTTAAAACTTTTGTCAGTATCATAAAATTTATAATATTTTGATCCTTTATTTATAAAACATGAGATAACTCATTTACTACTCCCAATATATTTCATTATATACAAAATAAAAATAAATTCAAAATATTGCATTGCATTAAGTAGGGCTTTTGTTCACTATTTGATCCATCTTGAAATATTATATCAAGAACATCAATAATAGACCCATAAAAACATAATTTTAATGATAAGATAAATAACCATAGCTGATAGCACTACAAGCCCCAATGTGAATCTCGAGCTCGTTGAAGACCCATTTCCTTGTTCAAACCTTTACATTTGAAAACTTCACCACTTCGAAGTTGTTGTATTATCTTGTCATATTGTATCGATCACTTGCAGTTGATCTCATCTTTTACAAAAACTACTGATTATATTTTTCAAGTAATTAGATATAGTATTGAAAAGCAAAACACATCTTCAACATGATTTTTAGCCACATCAATCAATGCAATTAGAGATGACGTGCAAAGCATTGCATATAAATTATATAATAAGCTTAACCATTTTCTTTTATAATCAATAATTTTCGCCGAATAAATGCACCAATCATGTTATTGGCGTTGTCATAACCCAGAAGACTTATCTGTTGTGTACTCAACACATATTTTGTTAGGAGCAAGGTTGTGAATAATCGCACCGAACATAGAATCGAAAGAAGGAGAGGTTCACGGTTTAATGGTTCGAACGAGGTCAAAGAAAGGTTGAACAGT